TTATTAATGTCTTGGAAACATTTAAAAAACCTGCAGATAGAACCTCCGCATAACGTAGACTCAAATTGGGAAGAAACATATACTAAATCACTTCAATATCTCTCTGAAAATTGTGGTGATCAACTAGAAGAATTATGGATGCCTTTACGGGAAGAAGACCAAAAATTATTTTGTAATCTTGTCGAACATACGCCAAATTTGAAAGTGCTAGCTTTGGAAGGGAAAGATTTCGATAATGATGGACAATTCTTAAACGTGGTAGCTAGAACTACTCCAAATCTCAATTACATTCATTTATCATACTTTCCTGCTATCACAGGCAAGGATGTTAAAGTTGTCAATTGGGGTCAACTTATTGATGTTAACATAATGGGTTGTGAATCATTGGAAAAAAAATCAAGATTTTTTGATCGTGTAAAAGAAGAATGTTGTCCACAACTTAATATTCATATATATGATCTTGAAGGGAATGTGGTGGAGAATAGGTAATAAAGTTATATAGGAGATCTATAAAAGATCAATAGATGAATTTATCGGTCGACCTACTAAATTGATCAAGAATTTCTTCGGTTTTGATCGGTAATACTGCTATCCAGTCGAGCCACTGATGCTAACTCTTGTTATATGGCGATTTTGAGTATTTGTTTTGGTACCTTTAGAATAATAGGAGTTTTTGGTTCATGGGCTTACTGATACTTTTGATCCGCGTTTCCTTGAATGCATCTATTTTCACAAACATTTATTTTACTAATTTGATTTCTCGGTATTATGCAATCATATGATCAGGCGATTGGATTTATGTATGAATTTTATGAATGATTAATGTAATTAATATATATACTGTACTCATAAGCAATACATTTATATTGGTTTATCAGGTAATTCAGGTAATAATCCTGAAAAATAATAAAAAGTCCTAATGCAGTACCATGAACTTAAAAAAAGAAACAATTATAAATATAAGATAGTATTAAATAAAGGAATATCCACACATAAGTTTATTATAAAAAAGAAAATATTTAGTATTATTATTACAAAGCTGTAGCCTTTTTTAACCAATACAGCTATACAACAAGGTCACCTAGTGCAGTGATTGATTTTTGTAAATATACATGGAGTAGAAGTATAGTTGTTTACTTAACTACACAGCAGAAGGCAAACAGTTTGAGATAGTGACAGTATATAGAATAGTTTTATTTCATACAAAAACATAGTGATAATCTTGCTTGTAAGAATTACCTTAGAGGGGAAATATCAACTTTACAAGGTAAGAAAGATATAAAGAGAACAGAGTCTAAGGTGAAGTATAGAAACTTAAAAGTTAATAAAAAGAAAGAAAGATACCCTTTATATATCTTTTTATCCAAAGAAAGGATATACAATATACAGTAAAGGAGTAACACTTGGCAGAGGAAATTGGAGGATTGTACTAGAAGAAGTTGGGAGATTGTGTTAGAAGAAGTTAGAAAAATATAAATATTACTTATTTTGTTGATATTTATTTGTTATTTGTGAAGAGGAATTTAGAGAAAGAAAATCTGAGGATTTTGTGTCCAAAATGCTTAGACTTTGTGTAAAGAAATTTGGTAGATTTTATATAAAGAAACTTAGGGAAACTTGTATTATTTTCTACCTTTTGTATAATTTTGTATCACCTCAAGTCATGTTGATCATATGATTGTACCATAATTTCAACAGCCAATCAAAATATTTCTATATAATTGTTATATAATATACTATCTAAATATATGTAAAACTAATATATAATATC